TGTATATGTCTGTGTGTGTGTTTGTGTGTGTGTGGGTGCGTGCATGTATGCATTTGGGTGTGTGTGTGTGTAAAATGTTCTGCTGCGTCAGCACCTCAGACAGACAGCGCTGTTGTTGTGTACCCACAGAGGAAATAAAATAACAGCCCACGTCTTTTCAACCCACAGACAGCTCTCTCTCTTTCTTTCTCTCTCTCCACCTTCCCCCCTTTTGTTCGTCTTTGTTTATTATTCCCCGTTTCGCCCTTTTGCGTTCATTTTCTCTCCTCCTTTACCTCACCTGCTTCCTCTATGCTTTACGTTTTCCCTAGTTTTTCTGCCTCTCCACATTCAAATAATCAGTTTTCACATCAAAGACACAATTAGTTTTTGCGGGAAGGAGATCAACAAATAAAAAAAATTATGTTTGACTGACGATTAAAAACATGATCAATTTACATCTCTTTATACCTGTCAGCTTACATGTCAAAATACTGTATGTATGTTATAAATGGAAACATGAGATCTTGTTTAAGTGTTGGCTTAATTACTGTCAAAGAAACCAGGATACAGGATACAGTAAGTAAATCATCCCCGATCAATCAGGCCTTTGTAATTAAATTAATTAATGTAATAAAGCTTTGTTTGGCTGCACCTTGTCTAAAATTGCGTATATCAGTGTTTTCTAACATAAATGTAATTATACTTTATGTGTGCCAAATATAGATTGTACTTTAACTAGTGCAAAGGGGAATAATTACTTACTTCATTAGATAATAGGTTTCTGGGGCGAGCTGGCGACCCATGTACTGAGGCTGAGTCCTTGCTGCAGCGGCCCAGGGTTCAAATCCAACCTGTGGCCCTTTGCTGCGTGTCATCCCCCCCATATATATAAAAAATAAGTAAAATTATATTGTAGAATAGTATTAAAGAAGTACTAACTATTATTATATATACTATCCGTTATGCACAAGTATTCTGAGACCCATTTTAGTTGCTGAATATCAAAAAAGTTGTTTGCCACTGACATGTGAATATAATGGATAGCTCTATTTAGGGGCTGTCTCTCTCTCTCTCTCTCTGTATGTCTCTCATTCTCTCCCTTCTCACACACAACACTGGCACTGGGTACTAAAGCAGCTTGCCAGTGGTATAGCAGAGCTGGGGACTATTTGACAGTGTTACCACAGTGATGTATGGCTGTTTTCATCCCAGCACTCATCCCAAGTGAATAATAACACACCAAATTAGAGTGACTTATCTCTATCTGTCTCTGTATCCCATCCTGTCTGGGCCTTGGCCAGCATTTCCTGAGTCATATTGGCTCTCTGTGTGTGTTCTTCTCATTTTCTCCCCCTACCTCTGTTTCTCATCTTTTTTCTTTTGTACAGTACATGCCAAAAGCTGTAACCTTTTTTTTATTTTAACAACCAGCAGAGGGAGCCCACTCCTCTCCTTGCTGCTACTGAGTCCTCCTGTCTTCTCCACACAGCACAGGGTGAGACCAGACATTATAAAGAGTGAGATCCACACTAATCTCCTGCAAAATTAATTTCAAGACATTTTGTAATAAAAGTGCCCTTTTGCCCACACAGAAACGTTCCCAGGCACTGCTGGAAGCATAAATTAACTCCTAAATGAGTGGCTGATGAAAATAGTCTGGGTGTCTCTGCAGAGGGGGAGCTCCAAAAAGGCTTCTGCAGTGAAGCGCTAGAAGCAACACATGGTTTGAATTGAATTGTTTAAATCAAATAAGCATTATTGATTTGTGTTTTGAGTGTTTTTGTTCTACAGGAGCAGAGTTCTATTGCTAGGAGATGAGGATGATGTGTCTTTACCTGTTTTTTGTTGTTAATGTTGTTTTTTATTTTACAATAATGATCTTTGATGAGCAGTTATATAATCTCTCTCTAATTTGGAATATAACTGTCAGTAACTGGTTACGTTTCTGGATACCGATTCTTGTTTTCAATCCATAATGTTACTTTTTGACACTGTATACTATTTTATTTTCCTGTAATCATTGTCTCAATTAATTAACAATTAATATAGCAGATAATAAATACTGTAACTCTCTCTATGTGGGAGTCAGTCAGTCATATATATCCATCTTGCCTGCAGCTAGTTCAAAATGCTCCTCATTGGTGCCAAAAAGACAGACAGTGAAATATATACTGTTGAATAGATTGTTTTTATTATTTTATTTGTTTGTAAAGCATAGCACAGAGTGGCACCAGCTCACATCTCCAATCTCCTTAGTCCCTATGCTCTGTCCAGATCCCTCAGATCCCCATTGCTGCTCCCATTCTTGTTGTATTAATACTTTTAAATCCTGGCTTAAGAACCACCTTTTTATAATTGCCCCTTAATAGATCCTCAATTATTTAAGTAAGTAATAATTCCTTTAATTTAGTCTATAACTATAACTATAACTATAACTGTTATTTACCTATTAATTTACTTTATTTTATCATTATGTAACTAAGTCCCAGTCAATGGGTTTTGGAACCATGGAAGAACCATCCTTCCATCCATCCATCCAGTGCTACATCTCATCTTACTGTGTGTTGCTGTACAATGCTGCATCTAATATCCCCACAGTATTTAATCCCAAAGCAACCCACATAGCAAGTACGCAGAGACGATATTATCTGATCTAAGACCTATCAAAGATCCATATGTTAACAGACATTAGCATACTCTGTTCTCACTTACTCTCATGCATACAGTAAAGAAGCTTTGCAAGAAACGAGAAGATGTGTGTAGTGAAGCCAGAGCAAATTTCCATCTGCAACCCCAGAGACGGGTATCTGTTGATGAGGCGTAACAGTGCTGACAGCTGAGATGTCACACAAGCACATTTATCACCTAAGACATAATTGCTTCTCGGGTAAAGATAGGCTTCACTTTCTTATACTTCAAATTAGTAATCTTACACTGTAGTT